GCCAGCATTCACACTCATCAGTTGACGAACAGTTTGCCAGCTGTCAGATAGTTGATAGTTCTGTGACCAAACAGGACCGGTTCGGTACCGTGACTATGACGTGACTGATGTGTGTGAATCGACCTTAATTTGGAGCGGGAGCAGTCAGTTATCAGTTAGAAGTCAGTCAGTTAGTTACAGATTATTAGCTCAGTTAGAGTTAGTTAGTTACAGACTATAATTAGTTACAGTTGATTAATCAGTTAGTAAAGTGAGTCAGTAAAATTATAATTCAAGAATTTAGTTACAAGAAGATTATTAATTGAGTTAAGTGAGTTAGTTAGAAGAAATTAAATCAGTTACAAGATTATTATTGAAGAGTTAGTTATAAGAATTCAAGGATTATTAAGTCAATTACATGTGATTATTAATTACAAAGAAGAATTAAGAATAATTTATGAGGTTATGAAGAGATTATTAGCTAGAAGAAGGCATTGATTAAGTTAAATGAATTAATTAAGTCTAATACAGTTGAGATTAATTATTACTACAGTAATATAGCGACAGTATGAAGTTAATTCATTGAAGTAAGCATTCAATAATACAACCACAAGATCCAGTTTAGTTGAAAGTACATTATATGGAAATTACAAGGATTTAAATCTATATATTTATATGGTGAGTGGAGATAATTAAGAAGAAACATATTAAAATTGTTGGATAACCACGGCTGAGCAAGAAAATATCGAGTGGTGATAATAACTTTAATTTTGGAAAAACTTTAGGCGTTCAGTGAAAGAAAGGTACCAAATTTTGTTAATAATTTAATAATTGTAAGAATTTCAAATTTTAGATAGATTGTTTTTAAATTGATATTGCGTATATTAGATAGATAGGTTTGTTTTATAATAGTTATAATAAAGATAATTTAAAAAAGTACTTACAAACTAATTCTTTGAGAACCGCGATAAAAACCCTATACTTACATATATCATTCAAATTTACTTATAGCTTATACAGAAACAACACATCATAACAATATATATATATATATATATATATATATTATATATATATAATATATATATATATATATATATATATATATAATATATATATATATATTAATATTATTATTTATGTGATACGTTTTGTATTATTTATTAAACGTTTATAATTATTTTAGGCTTTTTAGGCTTTTTTGAAAATAATCACTGTTTGACCGAGAACTGTCAATTTTAAAATCCGTTAGTGTCATGTCTAATTGGCAAATCGTTTACGTGTTTGGTTCATACGCGTGAGTTCGAATCCCAATATGAATTTCCTTTTTTATTTTTGAAAAATTTAAAAACCTCACGTTAATCTTATTAAATATATGTAATATACGCAAAAATGTTAAATTTTAAAATAATTTGAAAATTTACAACATAATCCGAGTTGTTGGTGTTTTATTTTTATCTTCGTAAAGAAAGTTATGTATATTGGCACTTTTAAATACTTAAGAATATTGCATTTTAATTTATATTGTATTATTATATTGAATTATGTTGCAGTGTATTTATTGTATTGTAATTTTTATATTAATAACAAAATAAATAATGAATTTTACTGCAGAGTATGTCTACAAATTTTTTTTGCATTCAATTTGTTTTATACATATATGAAAATAAAAATATATATTTTCATTAAAATATTGATACAATCCTTCACATACTAGACTCCAATTACAGGTTAAATGTTTATATACAGCAAACAATGCACTATATACCTATATAATTAATTCTTTTTCTCCTATACCTATACCTATATACATATGCCTTACCTATAGCATTACATATGTAATGATTGTACAGATTGACTCCCATATAAATTTGTAACGGCGAACGCGTGTATAGAAGTATAACTTCTACCGGCAGCCCCACTGGACTGCCACACCCGTTTCATTTATCATCGACTGACTGATAAGATACACATATTTAACACACATGTAGTTTATTAAATTAAACTTGATCTATTGGAAAATCGACGTCGAGTTCAATTCAAATTTGTTCGTTAATGTGATTTATCGGGTTTTCTTCTTTTTTGTGGACATATTTTTTCGATCAGTGCTACTTATTTTTAAAGTACTGTTTTATTAATATGTCGTATTGTTGCTAGTTTATTTAGTTTTTCTATTTCCAACTCCACAATCTTGGTGTTAATCACCAAACATCCCTTTTTGACTTAATTGAGATTTATTACATATTTGTATCCAAAACGTAGTAGCCTGTGATATATCCCAGAGTTTGGAAATTCACCCCTAAATCGTATTGGGAATCAAGCAAGGTATCCACATTAGAATGCTAATAAACAATAATGGGGAAAACGGATTCAATAAATTTTAAACCAACTTATGATCAAATATTTATAGAACCTGAAATTCACTTCAAAGGTATGGGAATTATTGACATAATATGTGAGGATTTAAACAAGTTAAATTATACAACCTTTATCTTTAAAATGGATAAATTGGATTTAACGGGTATTTGAACTCTCGAGAATTTGATTGTGTTAGTAAAATGTCTAATCAACTTAGTCTAAAAGTATTTACATCATTAAACATCATAACAATTTAAATTTGCAGAATAGCCAGTTGCATATTTACGTAATTTTTTCAGATTGTAAATAAACACGTTATAAAAAAGTATATAAATAATTTCAAAATAATCTCATCAAATAATAATTGTTAAAGTTTTTAAATGTTATAAAATAAAAGCAAAAGAATTAAAAATGATGCAAAAAAACGTGATAAGGATCGATAAGCCGAATTTTAGGTAAAAAAGAAAAAATAAAAGTTTTGATACTTATAAAAAAATATATTTTATTCAAATGTATTTATTATACATTTTATTTTGTAAAAATGTATTTAAACAATAAAACATCTACATCTATTATTCAGTGTAGCAACATAATTTTTTATTATTTCAGTGCATCTTATCCATTTTATGTTATTAGACAAGTATGTCCAGTTTTACGCCAAATGCTCCCACTTTCTCTAAAGTGAAAAGTCACTTATCCCATTGACCTACAGTGCCAAATAAATTGTTGACTTTTTCCGTATTATCGAGCCTCAGATGATCTGATATACTGGATTTTACCTTTATAAGGTTCTTTGTATTGACCTCAGTAGTCAACAAGACAACAGATTTCGACTGGGTACTTCTTATTCTCCATTATCTCCTTATTTGTATATCAAAGTCTCTACTTCTTTACGTGCCATATCATAATTATGAGACGTTGGCAATCATTAGTCCATTCTATTGCCATTCTATGGCCTTCTATTTTGGCTTTAAGGATCAGTTGAGATCAGCTCTTGAGATTAGAATTCTCTATCTTGTCGACCCTCCTTAGTACTTTCTCATTAGTTTGGCTTGCATCTTCTGTCTGTATTAGCATCAGTCTATGAATAATACATAGTTTAATTTTGTGTATACTTGATACTTTTAGTGCCCACACAAAAGTACATATACCAAATAGCACTAAACCATTCTTTGCCTTAGTTCTAAATTGAGATCAGTACTACAAAGGAATGTCTTCATTTTCGTAAAAGTAGTCTTAATCATTGCTATTCTTCTTCTAATTTGTATGTTTGGATCTAGTTGGTCTGTTATGACAGTTCCCAAATACCTAATTTTGTGAACTTTTTCAACTTGAGCTTCATTTAATTGAGGCTCAGCATCTGGATGTGGGTTACGAATAAGGACTAAACACTTAGTTTTGTTTAAGTTTATTATAATGCCCATTTAATCTTCTACTTTTTAAATACGATCAAGCAGAATTTGGAGACCTTCAATATGTTCTGACAGAATTACCATATTGTCCGCGTAACTAATTACATTAAGTAGTTATCTGTTGATTTTGATTCCATATAGCTATCTCTCATGTGCCTTTTCAAATCATTTTGGTTTTTTGAAGACCCAGGGTTACTGCCATCATTAAATGGGACTTTCCAAGTCTCTGCACTTAAGAATCTTCTCGTTATATTTAATACACATGTCATTAAGATGTTGCCCATGTATATATTTACTTATTCAGATGCACATTTTTTATTTCTTAAGAAGATAGTTCATACTATCTTAGTGCTCTTAATTTTCCCTGAAGATTTTCTTTGTAGGTTTTAAACCACTCAAACAATATGAAATGAAAATCTAAGCATGGTACATGCGTACGTATTTAGTGCTTTTTTCTGTTAAGATATGAACAATGTAATAATATTACCCTTCATTGGAACTATTAAGTTAAATTTGTTTATTTGTTCATATCAAATTAATGAACTGAATAATAACTCTACTGAAATTAAGCGCTATGCCGAAATTCTGAATGAATGGTTAATATATAATTATTTTAAAAGTTTTTTTTGCGAGTGATACATGAATGTGTCTACAAAAAAAACTAGACTATAGAATAACAGAAAACCAATTGGGATTTAAAAAAAGAGGTATAAAAATAAATTATCAAAATGTGAGAATCATTACCAATTTATACCGATATCAGAAAGCTATAATACGCAGACCAACTAAAATCTAAATAGTACTTTTTTATTGATTTAATGTCATCTGAACCATTGAGGTTCATCATCATCAATGGTGCTACAGCCCTATGAAAGAGCCTCGACCTTCCCAAGTCTATTACGCCAGGCAGTCCTATCCATTGCCAACCGTTGCCAGTTTGCTGCGCCAATCATTCTTCCATCCTCATCTATGCCATCCTTCCATATGAGTTGTGGCCTACCCCTTTTTCTACTTCCCACGGGTTGTGACATAAGGATTCTTCTAGGAGGGTTGTTCTGCTGTAATCTTGCTAGATATCCTGCCCATCTTAGTCTTCCTATTTTTATAAGAGATACTACGTCTTTACCACCAAACATTTGTTTATATCTGTGGTATACCTTGTAGTTATATCTCCTCCTCCAAACACCATTTTCACAGATGCGAAAAATATTCTTCTCAGGATCCTTCGTTCAAATATACGCAGAAACTCTATGTCTGCCTTGGAGATGGTCCATGTTTCCGATCCATATGTCAACACAGGCTGTATAAGGGTTTTGTATATGGTTATTTTTGTTTTTTGGCTTAAGTTTCTACTTCTCATATGTCTACTCAGTTCAAAATAGCATCTGTTTGCCATTATTATCCTTCGCTTGATATCTTCCGTTCTGGCGTTCTCTCTGGTGATCAGGGAGCCTAAGTATGTGAATTTGTCCACCATTTCAAAGGTAGAGTTATCAACCGCGAATTGGGGACCGACGTTCCTGACTCTATTGTTGGGTGTTGATGCCATCATCTTAGTTTTCTCCTCATTTACTTGCACGCCCATAGATTTTGAGGCATTTGAGAAGGTGGTATACATTTCTTCTAGCTTGCGTGTTGTGCGGGTAACTAGGTCCACATCATCTGCATATGCCAAAATTTGGGATGATTTATTAAAAATATTTCGTCTGTTGTCTATTCGGGCATCTCTGATCGCCTTTTTCAGTGCTATGTTGTGGGAGTTCCAGTGTAAAAGGAGACACGCCAGCGCGTCTCCCAGTCGCAGCCCAACATGCGTTCCAAACGCCTGTGATTATTCGCCCTGTATTTCGACTTTACAAACCACATTACGCCTAGTAGCTTTAACCAATATTATCAGTTTATGGGGGATGTGGAATTCATTCATGTCTTCATACAATTTATTTCCTAGGACACTATCATAGGCAGATTTGAAGTCTACAAAAAGATGGTATGTATCGATATTGAATTCATTGGTTTTTTCCAGTATTTGCCTTAGCGAACCATTGAGGTTATAGACGAGAATAATGAACATAAAAGAAGATTAATATAATTTGTGATACAAACTAGATTTTAATTTAAATATCTTTTATGCCTGTAACCTTTTAGAACTTTATGATGTTGTTTAGATGATTATTGATTCTAAGAAGCTGGCCTATGTCACTGGGGAGGTTAAGTTTACTTCTTGTTTCCTGGAAAATTTGACATTAAAATAAAATTTGTTTTACTGTACGGTTAATTTGACAGTGGTCACAGTATGAGGGGTTGTCTCTTGTGATTCGATACCGATGCGTATGGCGGGTGTGACCAAGTCAGAGTCCAGTAAATACGACTTGTTTTTTCCTAGGTAACAAAAAGGCTTAGTTTGTAAAGCATTGTCTACGATGTGACTTAGTTTTCCTGAACACTGCTACCTTTGTTTTGTCACGCACAACACTATGTTTTTAAGCACAATTTAAGATCACTTGGCACCACTTTATTTAGTTGAATTTGTTTATCACTTTGGACAAGTTCCTAGCTCACAAAGTCAAAGTCACTGCTTTGTGAGCTAGGCGGTCCAAAACCTCGTATCGTGTAATACAGTATGTGATGGGACCCAGAATAATACCACATGTTTGTTTTCCTTTGCAGTAATTTAAAGTTCTCTGTAAATGTCTTTATGAATAGGGTTCTTGGAGTATATGTTTTGGATGTCACATTGAGTACTCATTGAATCAGTTATTATTGTGTAATTTTTTTGGTCCGTTTTGTTAATGAATTTTAGAGCTTCAACGATTGCGTATAGTTCTGCATTGGAGATAGTCCAGTTGTTATCCAACTTTTTAGCATTATGAGTATTAGAGAAAATTGCTGCCCCCACTCCGTCTGTTGTTTTTTATGCATCTGTGTATCAATATATTTAAAGTGGTAGTTATAATACGACTGGTGAGAATTTATGTTTATTACATTTTAATAGTTCCGTGATCGTTGCTCGTTTGTTTACAGTCCATGGAGGATGAGGGTTTTCGGTAGGGTGGTATATTGTTGGAAATATTATTCTATATTTATGAAGTAGTCAGTTAATTCGTTCATAGAAAGGCGGATTGTATTGAGAGTAAGATGAGAAGTAGTAGATAAAACGATTGTTATGAACATTATGGTAGACTGGTTATCTGGATAGGATAGACCTTTACAAGCAAACGACAAACTAAAAAAATCTTTTTAAAATACTAGAGGGGTTTTCCCTCACTCACTGCGTATATTTAGTATTGAGCTTATTCTTCTTCTTCTTCTTTGGGTGCCGTGTCCGTATTCAAACGTTGGCCGTCATCATGTTTACAATTTCCTGAAACCTTTCTCTGTCGGCTGCTGCGCGAAATAATTTTTGCATTCTAAAGGCACCCAAAGTGACCTTGCGGTCCCCTATTTTTAATTACACCTAGTTCTTTAAGAACAGATTTATTAGCTAAGTTATATACCACTGAGCTGTAGTCAATCTCTGATCGAACTAAGGGTAAAAAGATTTGTAAAAAAGTTTCCATATCGCTGCCCAGGTGATGTTCAACAGTGTCTTGAAAATACTAAGTACCTTTAAGATTTTTATTGTGACTTTTTCAAACCAATGTTTTGTCAAACGTAAGACCAAGAAATTTTTTTTACAAAGATCAGATTCTTATCATTCGATGTTAAAATTGGATTATCCTGTTTTAGTTTTTTTTTGAGAAAAGCAAACATT